CACGGATTTAAAGCACAACCGAGTCGTTTCAACGTCACTTTGTTGAAGCGAAAGAACTTGGCTGTCACCTGTCGCCATCTTACCTGAGGAAGCCATGGAGAATTTGACTTTTCAAGCAATTTGCAGAGTATTACACTAGAATGTCATGTGTGTCTCCGGGGGGGACGGCTGTCTTCAAGTGCAGGTGAAGTGCTGGCTATGATTATGAATTACCCAGCAGCTCCTCAGGCTCTGACTCGCACAGAGAGAATTGGACGTTAGATTTCTTCAATTAGACGTTTTTCTGCTATTAATCTTTTTTTTCCATGATTGTTTTCTTTTTTTTTCTTTTGCATTTCTTTGTGCAGCGCAGCTGCTCAACACGGAACGGTGAAAGTTTGATTAGGAAAAGAAGTGGATGGACACACGAATTGACGGAGGGTCACAGCGACCCGAGGGGGAAAAGAAAATAATCTTCCTCCAGAATCATCTTTTTCTTTTTCAGCAGGGAAATTTGGATAAAAGGTGAATCAACTATTTATTCTGTGGCAGCAGATTTAGAAAACAGCAACAAGATGTCTGGATGCATATCTGAGTGTGAGTGTGTGTGTACTTTCTGCTAACAATCCCACAATGCAATGTGGATGCTAAATTACTGTCGTTTTAAAACCAGTGACCAGCAGCAGCTCATGACTTTAACCATCTGTGTGAAGTTTTGTCGTAATTACTGTATGAAGTCTTGAGTTATGGCTAACAAGTGTTTTGTGAGGTAACACCGAACTTGACCTTTGACCTTTGACCAGTTCATACTTGAGTCCCAGTGAACATTTGTGACAAATTTGAAGGGATTTCCTCGAAGAGTTGCAGAGATATTGCAGTCCCAAGGCCTTGACCTTTGACCTTTGACCACCTAAATCTAATCAGTCCATCTTTGAGTCCTAATGAATGCTTGTGCCAAATTTGAAGTTCCCTCAACGCACCGGGCAGATGGACAAAACATAATTCCTCCAGCTCTGGCTGTCGCCGCTGCAGAGGCATAAGAACATAAATGGTGAAGTGACATTATTCTGTCGTCCCTGAGCGCTGATGTTTAGTTTATTAAAGAGATCAATATTTCTCCAAATGAGACTCTAAAGTTTCCAGGTGATGGTTTTTTATTTGTTGCCTTCGAAATGAAAGTACTGCACACCTGAAAATAAAATGTGTCGAGGTACAGATACCGACTCAAGCAACTACACAAAATAACGCAGAGGTAACTCCTGAAAGCTAGCTAGCATAGCTGCGACAATTAGCATAGCTGCGACTAGCTCCTAGTCTGTTAGCCCGAAGCTATGACATGCAAAGGGAAATTAGCGTCGGGATCATAAATGAACCTGCTGCCACGACGACCGACCCTGGATGAGAGAGAGAAAATGGATGGATGGAGAATTAACATTTCACATCGTGACACACCACTTATAATTCATATTTACATGATCACATTACATGTAACGGTGGAGCGAACCTTGTACTTGTTAGCTGTTAGCTACTCAAACAGGATCTGAAACTTTTTTTTAGCAGGTTCGGCCGCAAAATAATTCACCCAGCTCGTCAATAATGGCCGTCGCTCGGTGTAAATCCTCGATCCTCCCTGCAGAACTCCCGGTGTCAGAGAAAGCTGCTCGATGAGAAAAGTTTTGCAAGCAGCCAGTGACACTGTGCAGGAGGAAGCTGAAGAGGAGCAGAGCAGCCCTCAGGAGGGGCGAGGGAGAGAAGTCGCTCAGACTACTTTGTGAAAAAAAAGGAACAAAATTCTGACTGAATAAATAAAGCAGAGTATGAGGCAGTCCTCCTGCCAGTCACACACCGAGCGAAGAAACAGCGTCCACGGGAGAAACACTTTGATTTTGTATGTGGTCCATTATTCAGACGCTTGTTGAAGCTGCTGAACGTATGAATTTTGCACCGAGCAGGAGAAATCAGCACGTCTGCAGGTAAACAACCAAACACACTCTTAAGAGTGACTCACAGTTAGCTGCTTCTGGCTATCTGAATCACAGACTGTCGACAAGGTCAGCCAATTCAAAACATTTAAAAGTCCCATATTTTTACACTTTTCCTGTGTTTTATTTGAAGTGCTGATCCTGAGAAGATAATGTTTATCAGATTTAATTGATTGGCTGACTGTTTTCTGAGTGAGCCAATAAAAATATGGCAGATTTCAGGGAAATACACTCAAAGAAACCAAATCCTGCAAGGTTTGGATGGTGGGTCCAGGTGGGCGGGGCTTGGTGACTGCTTTGTTGTGACATCACAAAGTTCCAGAAGTCCTGACGGCTGGTTTTAAGGCTCAGTTTCTGAATACAGGCTGTGTGCATTTCTCTGTGGACTGAGGCTTTGATACTTTCACAGCATTAATATAGAAGCTAGACCTGATCTATAATCTACATTCTTTTACTTTTATAAATTCACATTTTGAAAATTGCGCAACAAGCAGGTTAATGGAAACACACCTGGAGAAGTCGGAGGTGAAACAGACTAAAAACACTGTGTTTTGCTGTCAAGCTTTGTCTTCACGGTTGTGCAACAAAAACGTCTGAATAACATTAATTAATTAATTGTCTGTAATGATGCGAACTCTGCTCTCCTGGAAGTCAGACAACCAGGATACTGGTCTGGGTCTCAGGGAGGAGTCGGTGAAAGGGTTTTCTGTTTCTACAGTAGAGAAGCAGTGGTTAAAAAACAGTTTATAATTATGGTCCTGAATTGACTGTATTTCCAAATTAATATAATCGCTGGAACCTCCACGCAATTTCTAATTTAGCGGAGCTGTAATTACACGTGTCGAAGTGTTGAAGTCGAGCAGCTGCGGGCTCTGAGCACCTCTGACACACTCCTGTTAAATAAAACCTGAATCACTTTCATACTCAGTTTGATGCAGTGACTCTGGGCCTCGCTCTGTACGGCCTTCATTCAGACTCAAGGCTCTGTCTAATTAAAGCACAAGAACGAACGACAGTGAGGCTGGAGAGTAGAGAACAAAAAAAAAAAAAAAGAAGCAATAGAAATATTTTCTTCTGTCCTGCAAAATTCAGAACCTCAGGGTGTAAAAAAGAAAGACTGTTGTGAATGAAATGCTTTTATATTGGATGAAAATCAAATTGGCAGTTGTAGAAAACTGATACGGACACATTTTCCAGCGCCATCAGATTAAAAACGAGCAGCTCAGAGATCCCCGTTGAAAACGAGGCGTGTGCATTCTTTACATGAACCTCTTGTTTGTCAGATTTTATTTTCAGATTTGAGCCGCGCTTTCCGATCCACGTGACGTCGCTGATTCTTTTCCTTCCTGCTGCTGCTTTTGTTGCATAAATCCAGCTCCAATATTCTTACCTCTCTCTGTAAAAATGTAATTTATGTTTTGGACAGCGTGATTTATGCCATCCTTACTGGGAGGTTATAGGTGCTCAATAAAAACCTCTATTAATAATTTAATCTGCTCAGTATTGCTGCCTCCTGCTGCTGCTGCTCTGTATGGTTCAGGCTGGCTCTGTGTGCTGAGCAGGTGGACCGGACCGGACCAGAACCAGAATTACTGTTTGGTTGTTTTTCAGATGACTGTTCTAGTAAGTATTTAGTTGTGCATATTATATTATTATTATAATATCGTACTATCGTTTTCTTTTCTTTGTACCGTCCACTCTGCTGCTGTTGCACTGTGGGAAGGACGAACGATTATCATTCATAGAGGCTTCTAAGTTCCAGTGATGATATAATTTCCAGTGTAATTTAAGGAATTTTTCCAAAATGCTAAATGGGGCGGATCTCGCCTCGACTCTCTGTGCTGGAAAGACGTGACCTTATAGATTTTTACAGATTTATATGAACCACTAATACAAGATGAAGATGTTGAATAAAAACAACAGTATCTGCTGCAGTCGGCTGCTTGTTGCATTTTCCTGGTTCAGTAAATTCCTTGAAGAGATCTTTTTCTGCCTCATTGAGTGTTTTGGACATCGCAGCGCTGTGCAGAGTCCTAATTTGTTCTCATGTAGTCCCTGCTAATTAGAACTCCTACACCTGCTGATAATTAAGCTGAATGACAGACCGCAGGTGCAATGATTCCCTAAAAAAATATTGCATGAGTTAGAGTGCAGTGATTTATCAAACACTGCAAAGCATACTAAGCTGTCAGACCTGGCAGCGCTCCTTGTTTTGTCCTGAGTGCCAAACACCATCCGTCTCCATTCCCAGTATTCAGAGAAAGAAATGTTCAGTAATTTACCAAAGATAGTTGTCAACAGACCAGTTTCACGTTGTATTCTAGTTGTAAGAATGCTGTAGTATGGATATATACGGCTAAAGATGAAATATTAAATAATGTATAATACTTCCAGCGTGTTCTTGGTCTGCCTCTGGATCTCTTCCCGGCTGAAACCAGACAAGCCAAAAGGCCTCTGGGAGGCACCATTGTCTTTGTTTAATACGACCATTAGGACTTGCCTCAGACAGAATAAGGTGATTTAACTTTTATTCATTTGTGTGGTGTGTTTTTCTTCTGATCTTCCAGCACCAAAGGCAGATTACACCCAAACTATTCCAGAGAGGACGCCAGCCAACGTAGAACCACCTCCTTTCAAAGCAGTGGTGCTTTAGTACCTTTACAGGAAGTACATGGAAATACATTCAAATAGAACATTAAGATGACATTAAAATAACATTTAAAAACGATAAAAACAAATGAAAATGTTTAAATACGTAAGATCAGGTAGGAAAATGTATTTTTAAAATGAGCGCTGTTCAAGATCAAAAAGACGTCATGTGATCTATCGGTGATGTTTTAAATCCTGGACGCGTCTCAGGTGTTCAGGAAGGTTGTTGTGTTCGATTACCGTGTTGTTTCCGTTATCCATGACCGTTTGTTGTTGTTACTGTAACCATGACAACAAGGGTCGTCTAATGTCGAGTATGCTCTAATTTTAACCCAAAAACACCATCTTTTCCCCAAACCTCACCACGCCATGATTGTTATGACAGTAACCATGGCGACGGAGGTAAGGTACGCTGCTGTGGGTACAGTTGTCAGGAGACAGGAGACGCTCCTGTGGGTCAGAGGGTTGGAACAGGAGTCATCGGGTGCGACGGTTGTGCGATTGTGATTCCTGTAAAACGTATTTGCAGTTGCAGTTTTGTTGTGCATGAATATAATCTGCTTATATGTTGTTTACGTTGTTAGATTTAGGATTCGTCCATTGTTTGTTTTTTTTAATAAAATGATAAATAAATTGATGGGATCTTTTGTGCTGAGCAGGAGTATTGGACTGGACTCTGGCTGGGGGGGGGGGGGGGGGGGGGGGGGGGGGGGGGGGGGGGGGGGGGGGGGGGGGGGGGGGGGGTCTGAGGCATGACTGTGAATACAGAAACAGAAAACTAAGTCCAGAAAGCAAAATCACTTAATATCCGGGTTCAATAACTGGACAGGACTTGACCTTCCTCCAAACACACACACACACACACGCACACACACGGTCACCACATCTTCACACTGTGTGTTTCCCAGCTTCTATCCATACTTACAATACAATAACCTCATTATGTGTTTCATGCTGCGGCTGATGCACTTCGGCCTCCTCTGATTTCCATAGAGAACTGCACCTCAGTATCATGGGGCTTCATATACATTAATATATATTTATATATATATATACATATACACACACACACACACACACACACACACACCCATGTAGCCAGGCAGAGAGAGAGACATACACAAACATAAATGTGCACCTCAGGTGGCCCGGCTGGCAAACTGGATGTTAGTCGTGATTGGTGGCGACCCCCGATGTGCCTCTGATATATGGTGCACGTGGGTGTGTGAGGCGCTGCATTTGCATGTCTGCTCTTCCTCTGTTTCTTGTGTATAGAGAAGTGTTTTCTCAGTGGTGTTTTTGACACTTTCAACTCTGAAACAATCCTTTCGTTGCTTGTGCACTCCCCCCCCCCACCACCCCCCCACCAGTGTATTGGCACATACCCGGCGAGCGCTAATTAATTTGATTCCTCAGAAGCAGAGGCCGAGGTGTAAACAGCGCCTTACTTCACGAAAAGGGAAAACATTTATACCAGAGATTAGGGACGAGATGATATTTATCTATCTACCACAATGAATCAAATCACAGCCACGTGACCTCGGGTTGACAGCGACGTCTACCTGCTCAAACGTAAACAGCAGACAACATGAGAGTGTAACAGAAGACACAGTTCAGAGTTGTGGAATAGACTAAGAAAGACTGGGACGGACTAGAGGGGAACGCTGCAACTCTGCATAATTGATTTCTAATAAATAAGTGATGATGTAGAGGTGAGGAGGATACGGGCGCTTGTGTCCTGATCTTGGCTCGGACAAACGCACCCTCATGTTAATGAGACATTGATTTCTACATCACTAAATAATGGAAATATTCATTAGCTGTCAGCATGAAAATACATAACGGCGGAGGAGGGGAAGTGTTCCTCTCGAGGTTTTCAGCACAGGTCAAATAAGAGTTGTACGGATAACAAAAAAACTACGAGCGAGAAAGAAGAGATAAAATGGTGCAATGCAATATTCAGAGAGGTTGCATTAAGTAACCAACGCAGATGTAAGAGAATCCAGAGAGAATCTGACTGATTCACAGCCGCTTTATCTTCACGGAGTCTGGTGTAGATGTTTATGAAGTAGAAGTTAGTAAAGAACGCCGTCTGCCATCAGTAATGAAATCCCCAAGAAAAGGTTGAACGTGAATTTATCGTGTTTCTTTGGGCTTTTGACGTAGTTTCATAAAGTATTGATTGATAACTCTCGGGGGTTAAAGTGGGCCGGAACGATCCAGAACGGCGTTACAGCACCTTCGATCAATAAGTGAACAAATCTGAGAGTCTAAACGGAGACGGGTTACAGAAAAGTCACAATACACTACTACAAATATAAAGTACACAAATGAAAAAGACAAATACATTTTTCTGCATACTGAGTTGATAATAATCACAGATCTGGTTTGACTCGAGCCGGTGTTCGAGAATTCCTCTATTGGTCGCCCCAGTGCCGACGCCACTGTCAGTCTGTTTAATGAATTAATGAATGAATGAATTAATGAATTAATTTAAAGGTGGTCGGGCGAGTCCGTGTAAAAACCTTATAGATAAAACAAGCGTATTTAACTTGATTGTTGCCGAAGCAGCAACATCCCGCTGATGCAGAAACACATAAAAATCTCTACGGTATAAATTCTTGAGGTTATTATAAAGATGAGTTTGCTAACTGGAGTGGAGAAACGTGCTCCTGGTGTGAACAGCCGGGCTGCTGCTCGTGTGACCCTGAGTCAGACTGGCGTTACCCCACCTTTCCCCCCAAATCTAAAGGTTCCCCCACCTGCCAAATCCCACTTTAACCCCTGATTACAGCATTGTGTTGTTCAAAGTTACTCATATTTACTCTCAGTAGTAAAGCAGCAACTCTATCTCCTACAAATTACAATTATATAACGACTAATTTGCAAAAACAAATATGTTGTGGTGGTAACGTTTTGTCTCCCCTCACTGATAGATTAATAAATGAATGACAAAATGAGAAACACCTCTCAGTATAACACAGTACTGAACATTAGAACCTGTATGAATGTAGGATTCACTGCAGGACTGGTGGGATATTAGTTTTAGCTCAATCCAATAAACTGGTAACTGAATTCATAAACTCCAGGACGCCACCATTTCCTCTCTGAGCTCTTGTTGTATATTAAACAGCCGGAGCAGGGACTCTGTGATGTATTGGACGTCTGAGGCACAGGTCTGTCATACGCCGACTTCGGCGGGGCGGGCGCCAAATAAAGTCCCTTTGAATTAGATTTGACTGTAACTGATTTGAGGGAAAGTGAAGGAACAGAAACATAAACACTTTTACAAAACCATGTTGAAATATCAGTTTCTCTTTGCCTCATGAGACAAAAGCCTGAGAACGACAGAGATGAGAGGAGGATCATAATTTAGACCGTCTGAACTCAAATTAAACCTGCTCCTGTTCAAAAACACAGACAGTATCGATCACCACTTTATCCAACACACTGCAGAGCAACAGGCTGCCTTCTGCTGAGCTGAGCAGCATTTAACACTAAGGACAAAAAAATGTCACGACCCTCCCAACTGGCCGCGTGGAATTTACTAAATTTAACACATCCTGTCACGATCACCTGGAGAGGGAGGGAGACAAATACCAGGCGGTCAGCGGGGACGTCTGAAGGGCACCAGGCCGAGAAACAAGTAGCAGCTCTGCTCTTCAGGTTACTTCACAAGCACCTGACAATCGATCTGTGAAATTACCCGTATAACAGGAAGTAACCAGGATTCATAAAGTTACTCTGGGCAGTTTAAGTACCTGTGTTTTTCTGTCTTTTTTTCCGACTTCAAACTCGTCTGTCTCTGTGTTTTCTCCTTGCTTTTTTTTCTTCCTCCATCAACTACATGTCTGCGGCGTCACCGGGCGGCCACTTCCTGCCAAACAGGGGACTTGAGGCGTGAGTAAAATTAAGAGAAAGACCGAGCAAATGAGGACAGTGCCGCTGCATGTGTAGGTGTGTGTCTGTGCACGGTGGCTGCTCCCTGAACAGGTTCTTCCAGGGAAAAAACATCCATGCTCGCTTATGTATATATATATTGTTCCTCAATATACTGCCATCTTTCTGATGACTATTAATACACATCTGTCTTAGTCAGTGAACTTTGAGATGCAATTTTTTTGTTGCATGTCGTCTCACATAAACACTGTATTTCAGAGTTGTCAGAAAGTCTGAAGTTCTAAAGTCCTGACTGGAAATAAGTCAGTAAATGCCCCATAGTTACAATTTAAAAACCAAAAATGCATCAAAAATGACCTTTTCAGAGAAGGAGGAGACATTTCTGACATTAATTTCAAAGTACAGTTCGGTTGAGATACTGATTCTTAAATCCAGCGAAACCTCAGATTCTAGGATTGTGATTTATTTGAAATCCAGTTTCCTGACACGTGAAGGTCCCTGCTGCACGGTTCATCGGCCGACTGATCAAACGGGCTTACGTTGCTTCATATCTTCTGCTGAGGTTGCACTTGAACACACCGTAGAGGCGTAGACACACACCTATACTCTGAGCCGGCCTCAGACAAAGCGTCAGGGCAGTGCACTAACCTGTGTTCATAAAACAAGAAAAGAAAAGAAAAAGAAAGAGCTGCCAAATGAAACCACAGCGAGTCTGACTGAACTGTCGTGTCATGTGTTCAAAACACACAGAGAGAAACTGTCCGGGGTAAAGCTGCAGGAGCTTTGCTTTGATTTGTACTGACGCGGTCAGCGCCTGGTGCTCTGAGGAGAGGAGACAGAAGTGAAGTCACAGGGTTAAACAGCCAATCAGAGCTCTCCACCTGTCACCTAAACTCTGCAACTTGCTCATAAGAAAATTCTTGACCGGTTGCACAATAAAGGCCGAGGAGGTGTAGAGATGCTGAACAAATAGGTGGCCACAGATGACAGAGTTTTCTTTTTTTTTTTTTTATTGTAAACACATTGTTCAGATATTCTCTCGCAGCTCCAAAATGTATTTTCATACAGACAATGTGCCATAAAATCAAAACTACCACAAGAAAAATACTAATAATGTTCATTTTAGTGGATAAACTGCAGCTCAATTAAAGAGAAGGCAGGTGTTGATAAAGATTTGAGATCACAGTGAGTCAGAATGACAATAATTTGAGGAGGAAGTGTCTCCGCCTCCAGCACATATTTCTAAAGGAGGTCCCTTCAGTATAAAAGACACGTGTTAGTGCACACTGTACTTTAAAACCTGCACACTGAGCAACACTGCAAAGTTAAACTCTTATTCTATTGTCTGAACAAGGTGACAGGGAGAGGCCAGTCACTAACACACACACACACACACACACACACACACACACACACACACACACACACACACACACACACACACACACACATCTGAGTGTGTGGGAGAGAGAGAGAGAGAGAGAGAGAGAGAGAGAGAGAGAGGGGAGATTGTGTGTGAATCCTACCCTTGCGGAGGAAGCAGGCGTTAGGACCCAGGGGAAGCCGGAGAACTAAAAAGATAAAAAATAAAAGCCCTCAGCACCGTCAAGGTGGCGAATAACAGTGAAGGCATGATGGGAAACTGGTGCCCGGAACTACAAATAAAAGACTTAATCTGTCGGTTTAGAGTGTGTTTATGTAGACGTTCATTTAAAGACTTGCAGCTTAATGTAGAAAATTAAAAAAAAACTACTACTTCTACTTAAAAATAATAAAATAACTAAATGTTTTATTGTTGAATTTAAATTTACTTGATGTTTTTTTGTACTGTTTTTATGATCAAATATTTTCAGTATTTCATGAGGTTCACTGTTTGAATAATACGCACAAAGGTACAAATTTAAATTGTCATAAAACACATCCTTGTTAAATGCTGGGATATAAATATTAGAGCTGATCGAATCTGAGATCCAGTAACATAATTATCATCATCATATTCATTAATTGCCCCGAACGTGTCCAATTATCCGTTCGCAATCTGTGAAGCTTTATCAACGTGTCCTGAGAATATGAGAATTCAATTTCTAGTCATCTTGTCTTATTTTGAAAGCCGCGACCGGAAGTCCCGCACACGCGTTAATCCGCCCGTCTTTACGCGGTGTCTGGCACCCCGCGCGGTGCGCACTGCTCTCCATTCCTCTCCAACTCAACGTCAGTGTGTCAGAGACCGTCTGAGTGCGCACACACACACTGCGCCCCTCTCATACACTCTTTGGCACAGACGCGCGCACTGACACACACACACATACACACACACACACACTCACACACACACACACACCGGAGAGGAGAGAGAGAGAGAGAGAAAGAGAGAGAGAGAGCTCCTGGTTATTTGCCTCCAACTTCTCTCTTTGCTTCTACTTGTGTCTTTCTGTCTCTTCTTCTCCACCAATGCGAGGATTTTACTCCTGTTGTCTCCGTTTCTGTCGCCGCCGTCCCGAACTCAGGAAAACCAGTTTACGGACCAGACGGGAGTATGTAAAATAATCCGCGAGCACAGATCAGCAGCAGCAGCAGAAGAAGAAGAAGAAGAAGAAGAAAAAGAAGAAGAAGAAGAGGAAGAAGAAGAAGAAGAAAGAAAAGAAATGGATAAACGGAGTTATTCTCTCGCTTTGCCTGCAGTTTTCCTCCACTTTGTACTTTTGGGATTTACTGACGGACAGTTCTTTCCAGGTAAAGCAGTTTGTTTCTTTCATCTGTGGAATTATTTTATTTCTTCATGTTTTCAATCTCTCTCTTTGTGTGTGTATGTGTGTGTGTGTGTGTGTGTTTATTTTTTGATGATTTCCTCGGAGTTTGAACCGGTGGGAACATGTCACCGCGCTGAGGTGCGGGAGTAGAAAGTGGACGTGCACGGTGGTTTGTGCAGCTGCACATGTTTTTACTGCTGGACGATGTTTAATGTCACCTCATCGTGCCACACGTGCAGAAATCTCACAAATCACCTGCTCACGGAGTAATGTGATGAGGGTTTGATGGATGCAGACCGGCGGCCCGAGCTCGTGCCATCATGTGTCCCCGGCTGCTGTGCGCTCCGGAGGTCTGGTGTGAAGTTTTGGACGCGTCGGGAGGTTTGGCTCCGTGAACCTTCCTGCGCGCGCGGACTGTGAGCTGCTGAGGGTTAATGAGTGACTTGTCGTGGATGTTATAGAAGTTTATATTCCGCTGTGAACCTGCTGGAGGTTTTCTTTGGATGCGGGCGGACCGGTGCGCGCGCCGCGGCTCCGTCCGAGCGCAAACTGTCCGTCAAAAGCTTCCGTTTTTGACGTTGACCGCTGAACGTTTCTCTCACCTGAAGCCTTAAAGCTTCTTATTCAACTTTTACCCGCAGCCGATCTACACTCCCAACACCGCAGCTTCACCCGCTGCAACGTTCAGTCAGTTTACGCAGCTGCTCAGTTTCATCTCCGCAGCAGCATCTCCGCACCGCACGCACTCCTCTGGCACTTGTTACGCGCCGGAGAGGTTTGTTTTTGGAGGATTCGCGGGGCCCGCAGCGTTTTATTTTCTTTCTCATCCTTTTAATCGAATCAGTCACGATTATTTATGATTATAAATCATCAGAAACGGAAGCTTTGCAGATTGGTAAAACACGGGCCATGGCGCCGGATCACAGCAGATCCAGCGGCACGATTCACTCTGATAGAAACATACGTGTCCCAAATGAAATGCAGGATGACGTCTGGAGATGAAATCAAAGTTGAAACATTTAACGATTATCATAGACATAGTGTGTGTTAGAATAAAAGCGCGGTGTGTCAGTGTAACTCATGAGTTGAAATCGGGTTTTTGTGCCTGATCAGAGACTTTATCCTCTCAGAGGTCTGAGTGTTTCCTGCTCTGGAACTCCATCAAGCTCCAGCATCACATCCTCACTGGTCCAGGCTCGATGTAACAGGAGGAATCAGTGTGAAGCTGAGATGTTTTCATGGACTGCAGCAGCAGCAGCCTGTCGGCTCTGAGTCTGCCTCTCTCTCTCTCTCTCTCTCTCTCTCTCTCTCTCTCTCTCTCTCTCGGCACCTTCTGCTTGGTATTCATGACCTGTAAGGCTGCAAAAAGAGGGGGACTTTGAAGGGAAGACTGGCTCTAAACACTGAGTCCTCCCTCCCTCCTTCTCTCCTCTGTCTCTGGCTCCGGCTGGGCGCCGCAGCGCAGGGGAGCAGCCGCCTCTCTCCCTCCCTCTCTCTCTCTCTCTCTCTCTCTCTCTCTCCGTGCGTAATGGTGCAGCGGAGGAAACCGCTACCCTGCGCGTTATGGTGAAATAAAGTGTCCGAGGAGGTCGAACGTGTGGCATGGAGTCCTGACAGAAACAGATGTGTGTTTTCACAGAGAAGTTTTAAACCCAGGTGTAAAGAAATGAAAGCAGCTGCTGCAGCGCCGTGTAGAGTCACGTGTTGCAGTGCAGCCTGGAGTCACGAGGTCACGATCCTCTCACTTCATCTTCCTTCTTCTTATTGTTGTAACACTCAGACTGATGCAGCGACACGTGTGAAGTGTCCTTTATCATTAGCGCACTTTGCAGCTAACTTTATTTGTGTGTGTGTGTGTGTGTGTGTGTGTGTGTGTCTGTGTGTGTGTGTGTGTGTGTGTGTGTGTGTGTGTGTGTGTGTGTGTGTGTGTGTGTGAGCAGCTAAGAGAGAGAAAGAGCTGAGGGACGTTTCGCTGGCTGTTGTTTGCTTCTGTGCCGTTAGGGGGCGATATTGACTCATCACATCTATTTATCCTGTCACACACTCCCTTACAAACACACACACACACACACACACACACACACACACACACACACACGTTCACAAAGTGACCGGAGTGTTTCTAATGTTTCATCTTCTTCTTCTAACTGTTTTGGTTTTGCTTAAAAAAAGAAAACATTCTATAATACAACATATCTATCTATCTGTCTATCTATCTATCTATCTATCTATCTATCTATCTATCTATCTATCCAGGAAATTAAACTGAATCTACTTTTATTATTTTATTTTATTTTACATTTAAAGTGTCTGACTCCAGCACTGGGAGCAGTGGGTGCACTGGGAGCAGTGGGTGCACTGGGAGCAGTGGGAGCAGTGGGAGCACTGGGAGCAGTGGGAGCAGTGGGAGCAGTGGGTGCAGTGGGAGCAGTGGGAGCAGTGGGAGCAGTGGGAGCAGTGGGAGCAGTGGGTGGTGTGGGTGCAGGGGGTGCAGTGGGAGCAGTGGGTGCAGTGGGAGCAGTGGGTGCACTGGGAGCAGTGGGAGCAGTGGGAGCAGTGGGAGCAGTGGGTGCAGTGGGAGCAGTGGGAGCAGTGGGTGCAGTGGGAGCAGTGGGTGCAGTGGGAGCAGTGGGTGCACTGGGAGCAGTGGGTGCACTGGGAGCAGTGGGTGCAGTGGGAGCAGTGGTTTGTTGTTGTGTCGGTTTCCTTTGAAGCTGCTCTTTCCCTTTAACCGAGCAGTCTTAGTTGCCTAAACTTCACCACGTGTTAAAAGATGAGTTTGAAGTTTTGAGATTGACTTTTCTTTACATTCTTGTCGGTGTGTTGAAGAGGAGATGGGAAACAGTCCGACGTCTGAGCTGCTGAGCTTCTGATCTGTTTTGTTTCGGGTGAACTTTCCCTTTAAACGACTTTTTGTTCTTTAGTTTTGAAGAAACGTTATGTCCAATGACGGAAAAGCATGTGTGTGTGTGTGTGTGTGTGTGTGTGTGCGCACAGTGACCGCTAACTGCTGAACGTCCGGTCGAATCTGGAGGTGATGACTAGGGCGTTGAGGTGTGTGTGTGTGTCTGTCTTTGTGTGTTTGTGTATGTGTGTGTGTGTGTGTTTTCAGGGGGGGAAACCAATTTACAATTTATATTCCACTTAATTAGATTTCTTTGGCAGTAAGGACAAACGGGGGAGAACCAGTGAAAAAGGAGAAAGAGAGAGAGTGACCATGAATCACTCCCTCCCTCGCTCTCTCTCCTTGACTCGTTCGCCCGGTGTGTTGACATGTTGGAGGGACGTGAGGAAGAATTCGGCTTTGATCAAATCAACAGCCTTCAATTCCCCCAATTATAGAGGCCTTTATGTGATTAGTGTGTGTGTGTGTGTGTGTGTGTGTGTGTGTGTGTGTGTGTGTGTGTGTGTGTGTGTGTGTGTGTCAGGCTTCATATGAATGTGTGACAGTTTCATACAAACAGAGGAGAATGGGAGAGAGCAGGGAGGTAAAGAAGAGATGATGAAGGAGGGGGGGAGGGAAAAGAAGAAAAGTTTAAGAGAGAAAAGAAAAACGATGGATGACGAGGGAGAAACGGGTGAAGAGAAAGAGGGGGAGGAAAGAATGGGATGAGGGGGAAAGGATAGAGCGGAGAGGAGGATATAGAGAGGAGGAGTGGAATGGATGAGGAGGGAACAGAGAAAGAGAGAAGGACCTTGAGGAGAAAGAAATAGGAGACAAGGAGGGAGGAAAGGCAAAGGAAGGAAGGACAGGAGATCGAAGGCCAAGAGGCAGTGAAAGGACGAGACTGTGGGGAAGGAGATAGTCCTGTCGTCTGTTGCCTCGTCCATCACTCCTGTAAAGACAAGATGGAGAGGAGGAGGAGGAGGAGGAGGAGGAGGAGGAGAGCAAAGGACGAGTGGTTGGAGGAAATGACAAAGACAGAGGATGACAGGAGGTCAAGAAGAGAAAAAAATGACACTAAGTTGATTATGTCTCACTGTTATCGACTGTCTGAGTGGCTGTAATTGTTTCCTCTGCTGTGTGTGTGTGTGTGTGTGTGTGTGTGTGTGTGTGTGTGTGTGTGTGTTAAAGTGAGACACAGAGAGAGAGCTTTATGACAGGATGTCTGTCACCTCATGCCCCACTCTGTTTAGTATGCTGTCTGTCCTCCCTCACTGTGTGTGTGTGTGTGTGTGTGTGTGTGTGTGTGTGTGTGTGTGTGTGTGTGTGTGTGTGTGTGTGTGTCTGACTAATCCACGGCACTTATTCTATTGGCCTGACTAACTGACAGCCTAATAGCAGAGCATGCTGAGTGCCGGGGTGTCGTGTGTGTGTGTGTGTGTGTGTGTGTGTGAATGAATTGCAAAGTGGGTCGTGGGACGGACCACTCTGCCGTCAGAGAGAGAGACAGAAGTGTGTTAGTGCTCGATTACATCAGGAAGTGATGCGGGAAGCTGGGTGACTACTTACACCACTAGCTGTTGCCAAGCTAACCACTAACGTGCTAGCTACATTGGGAATATGCTAGCACCGGCTAATAGCCTTCAAAGCTAGCTGGGCTGCCTCCTGTCGCTAAGCTTGAGCTGATATTTGTTTCCATCAAATATTGTGATATTTGTCATGATGTCGTTGCAGTTATTTACAACCTGCCCTGCTGCAGAGTCCGACCCTCATGTCACTGCTTATTGTACCTTGGCATGTTCCGATAATGAAAACTTTTAATTACATGAAAAAGCCCAACAAGGGACAAGAGTTAATCATTAGCATTAGCTGTAAACTCTCTGTGCAACACATCAGTTTCATGCTTTGTATGGAAACTGTGAGATTGCATCGTCCCTAAATTAAATACATTTATAAAAAAATATGTAACTAATAGTCATTTTGAACTGTTGTTAAGTGGCAGCATCACTTATACCTGAAGTATAAAATGCAGTATTATAATCACATTATAACTCCTGCTATCCTCATAATAATATCATATATCATGAGACTCTATCAAGACATTAAATTATAGATATCACCTTCCCTCTCAGGTGTAATTCTTCACACTGCACTTTCAAAAACTGAACTATTATTATCCACATACTTTAATGATTATCGCCTCTCGGTGAAGTCACTGGCTCTGAGATGCACTCAGGCTGATTTGACTCTATCTGGGGACATTTGTTGTTTACCAGTGTGTTGCCGGCTTGTTTTTCACCTTGTGAGTCTGTGTGTCCTGGAGACCACAGACCGACTGTAGCAGGAACAACCCACAGGTGCAGGTGTTTAAACGACAGAGCTTCAAAACTGTGAAAGATGCAGCCGTGAAATTTGAATAAAACTACATGGTGCAGCATGGCTAATATAGATAGCTTCCTCTGTTTTAAACTCACCACTGTTGAAAAGGGGTTTACTACAGTGTTGGTCAAAGTGTGAATTAGTGTGTCAAAAGTTCAAGTTAAATTGCATGAAAGGTGCACATAGATACTTCACCTCTGTGCGGGTTGAATAGATTTTAGTCGTAAACGTTGCCGTAGCGGTGAACGGTTGAAGATTGATCGCTGGGATCCGGAGCAATGCATCAACTTCCTCATCCATCCGTTGATTATAATTCAGTGGGGGGAAAAAAAAAAATCAATGTAATTAAAATAGATGTGATGTCCGTAAACAAAGGGACTTGTTTACTTGCAAAAACCGCAGTGTTATCACAACCAAAAGCATCTGATTTCCTCCCTCTGCATGCTTTGATTGAAATGCTATTTGTCTGTGAGCTCATGGCCAGTTATCAAAGTTTCTCTGCAGGAAAAAAAAAAACAAAGAAAGTTATTTCCCTGAGTTCTCCAGTGATGGAATATGGTGTCAGGCTGACAGTTGCGTCTGCCACGGGGATATTTGACAGTCGAAAACTGAATGAGATACTACGAGCAGTGAACGATAACGCGGCTCTGAAAAGCACATCTAATGGAAAGACAAGAAAAATGGATATTTAGTCGGCCTGAGGGAGAAATTTCCTTCCTGCATCAACAGAGCCAGCAGAGCTCACCAAACTCAATGGAAACAAATGTACAGCTGTAGCCATTAAAGAGGCGTATTAGTACTAGAGATACATTTCTTAAATGGCCTGAGGATATTTGATGAAGGGAGTGCGATGAGTTTTAAAAACGCACATGGACTGAGCATGAAAAAGTGAGAGAAATCGCTTTTCCCCACCTGCAGAGGATTCAGTACAAGCAGCTCTCGATTAGTCTCAGAAGAGAGAGGTGTGGGAGAATGTGTGAGAGGGATCAACTTCAAACAAACGATGATGCCTTTTCCAGATGAGTGCAATCCTGTGTAGTCCAATCTACGCATCCGCTCTCTGCAGCTTATCCGAGGTTGGGTCACAGTGGCAGCAGGTGGAGCGAAGTAGTCCAGATGTTCCTCTCCCCGCCAACGTTTTCCTCCCTGGGGGATCCCGAGTCGTTCCCAGGCTAGATAAGATATATGATCTAGGTCTACCCCAAGGCGTCCTACCGACTGGACGCGAGGCATCCTGACCACTGGCTCCTTTCGATGTGAAGGAGCAGCAGCTCTGCTCCGAGCTCCCTGCGGACGTTAGAGCTTCTCACCCTTATCTCGAAAAGTCGAGCAAACTTGTTTCGGTCACTTGTATCTGTGATCTCATTCTTTCAGTCACTACCCAGAGATCATGACTATAGGTCCACCACCTGCAGGGTTAGGCGTCCAGCTCGGGTGCATTGCGAGCGGGGCAGCAGGTCGGGTCAAGGCCCTGGGCCCTCTGAACCTCAGCGTTGCGGAAGTCATTTCCCAAGTGTTGCCTTAATCTACCTTTTTATTAGGAAAACTAAAAGTAAACAGCATTCACAATGAAGACCACATGTGTAGCGTCAAATACCAACTCGCCACATCTGTATTTTTATGTAAAAGTGCTGGTGAAAAGAATCAAAGTCCGGGACTTAAAGGTTGGCAGTGAGAAGGTTTGTATTTAAACCCGAAACGTTCTCCACTTCAGCTGAAGAAACATCTTCAGATGTAAATTGCTTCCTTTCCTTTTATTCAGTAGAGACCAACAAAGACTGTGACGTTTGAACATCTTCAGTAAATGTACAGATATATTTCACCTGTGAGGAAAATGTTCAGTAGTTTCATCATAGCAGCAGAAACATCACCAACTCTTGGCCCAGGCATCTGTTCAGCAATAATCGCCTAAATAAAAGATATGCCTGGTGGACACTGACGCTTTTATTATAACAGGTTAAACCATTAATTACAGTTAATTCGTTCATTACATAAATTATACAGGGTGAATTTTACAGCAGCCCATAAATTATACAGCAGTCATAAATGATACAACAGTGAATCCAGAAGCCCCTCAGCCTTGGAAGGGCACAATGGCATCACAGAATCCAGATTTCAGCAGGTGTAAATGAGGCGGAAAATGTTTTTGTTTTTATCCCGTGGAGGCTGTTAACTCCGGCCTCGGGGCAGGACGCTGCAGATGTTCGTCTCACGTGTTTTAATCGCACTTTGACTCCGCCCTCAGACAGAATCACTTCAATAAATACGAGTTTATGTCGCCGTCAAGCTCTCAGAAGTTACAATAAAAGATTTTGGGGTTGGCTGGATTGTTAGGAAATGTGAAGATGGAATTTGAATCATATTAATGATTGGATTCCTTACTGGGAACTTACTGGTAGTTCCCGCAAAAACACAGCTTATAAACTTTAGTGAGTTCCCTACAAACCCTAAAGGTTGTCGTTGCTGCTGAGATGTAAGTTGTAGTCAGAGCAACATTACAACATGAGCTTTATTTAAGTATGTGATTTATTTAGCTTTCAAATTATTCAGATTACAACTGTTAACATTACTCTAGAGAAAATGTGTGGTAGAATTTCTAAAACAACCTTTCTGCCCAGCAACCACCACTTCCTGCGAGTAGGTATCCTACATCCTGGATATTGGAGCTCGTATGAAAACCACACATTTTCATGGAAATTGGTTCGAGCTAGAACGGAATAGGCCTGCGACCGGAAAGGTTGAAGGTTTAAATCCAGAGCTAACCGGGAATATCTGCGGTAACTTTCTGGAGGAGTCGTCTCAAGAGCTCCTGTTCGATTACCTGAGCAAGAGGTTAAACTCCTTTCCCAAAGCCTCGCACGGCAAAACAAACACGGGGACAAATCGAGTCGTGATTGAGCTGATTAGGATGCCGGAGGTGTAAAACATACATGGTGCAGTACATGAAAAACTTCCTTTCCTCTAATTAAAGTAACTGCTGATTAATGCAGGAGGTCTTAACGAAGCTTAACAAGGTTTCGGAGTAATTAATCCATATTTAATAGAAGATGTTAGGCAAGAGAAGCTGAGAGGGCTGCTTAGTCGGCTGAATCAACATGATTGAGGGGGGGAGGGGAAGGGAGGGGCGAGGATGAATGGCAGAAAGGAAATAAAGGAGGAAATGAGACAAATAAGTGTGGGTAGATGGAGGAAGGTAATAAACAGAGTGATGGAGTTTAGCTGGAGGAGAGAGAGAGAGAGAGAGAGCGGGAAAAGGAGATATTAGATCACAGCTTTCACTTTATTCTCACAGTGACTAAATTTAATTTACGTCAGACTGTGTGGGAGTTCTGACCCAGAAGATGGATACACATGTAGACACAGTCACTCCCGGCCGGTCCATGAGAAAACATTTAGGGAAAACGTCCAAATCTTCCTCTGCAGAAACGGGTTAGTGCGGCCATTTTAATTCAGGAAAGGATTCTGAAGAAGTCTTATTTTATTTGTAGTTTCTTATTTTATTTGTAGCTTCGGTCATTTTTCCAATCAGTACTCTTAACTTCTGAGGGAGTCGCCAAAACGAAGTCCAACAGAACTGTCTGTTACAGGTTGAACTTTGACCTGCTGTATTTACTGTGGTTTCCCTTCCAATGAGAGATAATAACTCTCATCTTGGATACGCCCTCTTTCAGTTTTTATAGTTTTATAGCAAATTATCCTGCAAAAAAACCCCCCAAAAAAACGAGTTATTATGACCCATAGCTGCGTTTTGTTGCTAGGCGACATCCGGTGGTCGCAGTAATTATGACAGGAGCGAAGGAGGAAGTCAGGTGACGTAGAATGAAGAGAGACAAAGTCCACGTCAGGAGGAGGAAGAGGAGGTGGTGGTGGAGGAGAGCGGTGTTCGATTCCTGTGTGAAAGCAGCAGTTTACGTTGTTTCTATTGTCAGGACCGAACTTAACTACGTTGTTATTGCTGTAACCATGACAACAAAGAATCGGAAGGATCTAATCCGAAGGAAGTAGGCTGCTCATTATTTACCCAAACCATGATCTTTTTCCTAAACCTAACCGCGCCGTGAATGTTTATTATTATCACCATGACAACGGAGGTCACGGGGTCGGAACAAACGACCTGTGTGGTTGTTCAGGTCGGAGGACTGGTTTTGGTTTAGATGACCTGGTTGTCTGACTGTCTTGACTTAGTAATTATGATGATGATGGTGAGAAACAACGTAAAAAGAACGAGATGTCAGATTGTTAGTGAAATATTTTTCTCTCAGACAACTTTAGGATCTTGCAAGCGATGCTAATGCAGGGTTTATGGTGGAATAACAAATCCACAGGAAGACAGACGGCAGCTTTTAGTTGAGGGAGAAACACAAGGGAAGAAGAAAACACCTGGAGCCTCGAGCAGGACGACGACACAAAGCTAAAAGAAGAAGAAAAACTGATTAAAACAGAATATAAAGTTGGGAAAGAAGGAATGAATGAAGAAAGAGATTTGGACAAAGAGAGAGAGAGAGAGAGAGAGAGAGAGAGTGCAACAGACAGATGAGAGCAAACATCATAATATTTGCCTGGCAGTTGGATTTTGCCTCTCGCTATTTACACACACACACACACACACACACACACACCAGGGAGTGCACACATGTCCTCCCGTGATGGAGCAGTGTGAAGGTGCCAACCATCTTCTAGTTGTTTACACACTCTCATCTGAACACACACACACACACACACACACACACAAAAAACACAAATGCGCATGCTTGACTAAAATACTGCCAAGTTTACACAAATGTAATCCAACATCTGCTCACCCTCCTTTATGTGTGTGTGTGTGTGTGTGTGTGTGTGTGTGTGTGTGTGTGTGTGATTCATCCATTCACTTGTTCACCCCTCCATCTGCCGGTCAACCCATCCCTCCATCTGTCAGTCACACAGTGAACTGGGAGGGAAAGCGGCGCTCGTGTATGAGCTCATGTGCGTTGAGTGTGAGTGTACATGTGTCTAAGTGTGTGTGTGTGTGTGTGTGTGTGTGTGATTGGGATTGAATGCTGATTAACTGATAATTGCCTCTGTCACTGCCGGTGACAGGATATCCCGTCTGGTTAAGTGATACAGACAGACAGACAGACAGACAGACAGACAGGTGGACGGATGGACAGACAGAAAAAACATTTCTCCGGGGCGGGAGGCGGCTGCTTCACCTGTCACTCACAGGGAGGGGGAGAGAAAAGGAGGAGTGATGGAGAGAGATAAATAAGTGGGGGAGATTGGGAGGAAAAAAGAGAGGGAGGAAGACGAGGAGTGAAGCGAGGAGGTGGAGAGAGAAGGAGAGTGATGAGAGAAGGAGAGTGATGAGAGTGATGAGAGTGATGAGAGTGATGAGAGTGATGAGAGTGATGAGAGTGATGGGCCGTGGAGGATAAAGGGCAGAAATGACAAATGATGGGAGCATGAGTGGGAGAGGAGGGTGAAGAGGAGGAGGAGGAATAAAGATTGTTGATTGTTGAGGAGGAGGTGCAGAAAGGAAGTCTGGAGAGAGAGAGAGAGAGAGAGATGAAGAGGTAAAGGTCTCTTCACCATGTTTTACATCTGATCATCATGTGTTTTCCATCACAGCAGCAATTTGGGTCAGACACTGAAACATATCTCTACATGTCTCTAACATGTCTCTAACATGTCTCTACATGTCTCTACATGTCTCTAACATGTCTCTACATGTCTCTACATGTCTCTATGTCTCTAACATGTCTCTACATGTCTCTAACATGTCTCTAACATGTCTCTACATGTCTCTCACATGTCTCTACGTCTCTACATGTCTCTAACATGTCTCTACGTCTCTACATGTCTCTACATGTCTCTAATATGTCTCTACGTCTCTACATGTCTCTAACATGTCTCTACATGTCTACGTCTCTACATGTCTCTAACATGTCTCTACATGTCTGTACATGTCTCTCACATGTCTCTATGTCTCTACATGTCTCTAACATGTCTCTACGCCTCTACATGTCTCTAACATGTCTCTACATGTCTTTACGTCTCTACATGTCTCTAACATGTCTCTACATGTCTCTAACATGTCTCTAACATGTCTCTACATGTTTCTAACATGTTTCTAACATGTCTCTAACATGTCTCTACATGTCTCTACATGTCTATACATGTCTCTACGTCTCTACATGTTTCTACGTCTCTACATGTCTCTACATGTCTCTAACATGTCTACGTCTCTACATGTCTCTAATATGTCTCTACGTCTCTACATGTCTCTAACATGTCTCTACGTCTCTACATGTCTCCAACATGTCTCTACATGTCTCTACGTCTCTACATGTCTCTAACATGTCTCTACATCTCTCTAACATGTCTCTTACATGTCTCTAACATGTCTCCAACATGTCTCTACATGTCTCTAACATGTCTCTACATGTTTCTAACATGTTTCTAACATGTCTCTACATGT